CTAACACAAGTTGTGATGAAAACGTAGTACATGGGCCCTCACCTGTCCTGCCTGCTTCTTTCATGGAGTGTCCGTGAGACTTAACCAACAGATATTTCTAATGTGCTGTGGAATCTTTGCCCAGGTGATGCTCTAGAGATCCCTGAGGTGGTTGTTCAGATGCAAACAGGCCTGAAATATTGTTACCTTTCTGCTGAAGTGAAGGGTGGGTCTAATAAAACCGAGTTTAACAGAGGGCTGCAGAATCTGACTTTCTCCTAAGGGCTCTGTAATATCTTCCATTGTTTCATTTTCTTTATGAAGAGGTATTGATCTATTATTTGCATCGAGTCTGTCAGCACAGAAAGTGCAGAAGATCTTGGAGCCCAGGGAAGCCCAGGGAGCTGCTGACCTCCGCTTTTAAGAGCAAAACCTTTTCCACGCAAAAGCAATGTGTGGAACCATTTTGTCAGTTTGCCAAAGCAGGTTCAGTAAAGTGCTCTGCTTTGGCCAGCTCAGCATCGATTTTAGACTTGGGAGTGATGCCAACAGGTACATTTGCATGGGAATGAGTGGGTTTTGGCTGTTGATGTCCAGCTTGTGCATGGCACATGGGGCCTAGGAGGGGAGCACCGATGGGATGGTCCTTCCCAAGGCTGCATACATCCAGCAGCCATGTCCCACAGCTGGATGTCATGATTCTGAGGACAGCATGACCAGTGCTGACGTCTGCAAGCTTTGTGACTGTTTCTGTAATGTCACAAGCAAAATCCCAGCACAGGGATTTGAGCAGGACACAGAGTACCTGGAGGTTCCCTCCGGAAGGCACAGACTCAGCTTAGGGGTCCCAGTTCCTCACGGAGGGAGCTGAGGGGAGGTCATGGATTGGTTTAAAAGAAAATCCCCAAACCCTCACGGAGTGAGTTGAGGTGCAGCAATAAAGATGCAGTTACTTTGGTTATGTTTCTTTAGAGCATGTTTGGGATTTTAGTCAGATGTTGACAGTGCTTTTCCTTCTCTGTTGTGCCTGATGCAGCCTTGCTCCTGTTTGCTAGAGGCTGTGTCACAACATGCCCGTAATCCCAAGGACAGGACGAGTGTTTCATTTGTGAGACTTCTGGTCCTGGCTTCCAGTGACATTGAATAGAGATTGTAACAAGGCTGCTTTTCCTACCTGCTGCTTTTATATCTGCAGAGGGGAGAAACTTGCTCCCAGGTGCTTCAGGCTGGTGAAATTAGAGGGTTAATTTGTGCTGGTAATTGTGTTTAACTGTCTGTGGCTGTCACCTGCTCCTCTTGGATGGCTCCGTGGGTTGCGTGCTCCTTGCGTGTTGTCCCTTCTGTACAGTCATTAGCAGTCTGGAGGGTGTCATTAGGGGTAGGCTTTTATTTCTGAGATGCTTAGCTCTCCCTCTGGAGTTCTGCAGGGATAACACCATCTTTTCCTCTGTGTGTTGTGCTGGAAATGCAGATTGTGCTGGTTTGACCAGTATCTTTCCTGCAAGACAGCTCTGTCCCTGGGCTGCTTTTGCAGTGCGTGGCAGTGATGTCTGTGTCACTGCAGGGACATTGCACCACTTGACCGATCAGCCTTTGGCCAGCCCTGCTGAGTTAATTGTTCCCTGCCCTTCTCCCTGCAATGTGTTATCTGCAAGAGATCTGGACTTGCAGCAAAAGTTGGTGGGTTGGAAAGTTTTTCTGAGCTTAGTAATGGTGATGTTCTGCAGATGAGCAGTCCTGCTTCCTTTCTGCAGTTCTCAAACAAGCCATTTTGTTCCTATTGCCTACAAGTGGACTTGAGAATAATTTTGGGGGAATCTTTTACTGTTCTTTCTGCAGCCTTGTGTTGTACTGAACTGTACCAGTGGCAAGGCACAGTGCAGGAGAGGATAAGACCCTGTATTTTGAAGCCCGAAGCCTGTTTTGGATAGCTGTGCAGGGGAGGATGCCCGCAGCTAGTAGACTAGGACTTAAAGAACTGCGTTTCTTCAGAGCAGAAAAGGGATTTTGGGTTGCCTTCATCAGGTTAGCAGCTCCACACCAAATCATTGCTTGGCAGATGTGAGCTCTTGCTCTGACAATTTTTGTAGCTGTGATGGAGCCGCGTTCTTTTACACCATCTGGTGCTCAGTGTGCAATTCCTGTCCGCTGTTCTTCTCCCTTTGTGACTGTTGCCTCTGCACAATGCAGCTAGACAGGGGAGGGGATTTACAGGTAGCGTCAGTCTTTCCAGCAACTGACACAAGGCTTTCATTACTGTCACCCAAACAGCATGGCAAGGCAGCACGGCGCACGGGTTGGACCCTGCGCCCAGCACCACCGCTCCTGACCTGGCCAGCCTCTTCTCCTCTGTGCCCACCTCTTCCCATCCCAGTTTGTTGCTATTTAAACCGTGTGCCAGTTTGCAGACCAGGTTTGCAAAACACCTGGCTGACACCGCATTGCAGAGCCCTGGGATGGGTCAGGCTTACTTCTGCACGTGCAGACTGTGCCCCTCTGCCCCGCAGGCACTTCTGCTAATTTTCTTCTCTGAGCAGCCAAAGTCAGAGACTGTCACTGTCCCTAGCACTCACATCAAGCACATGGATGTTCTGGTCTGGGAGACACAAATGCTCATTGACCCTGGTGTTTGATGACTTTGATTTTTGCAAAGGATTTATTTCTTGTTTCTTTGTTCAACATCTGTATTGCTCCTGTGCCTAACAGCCAGCAGTGCCCAGACCTGCTGGGTACCGGGCTGAGATGGGCACTGAACAAACACAGAGCATCTGGCAAGCAGCCCACGGTTTTTCCTCTACCTTTATTAGATTGCACAAAGGCAGGGAATGTGTTTTACAAGATAAATAGTTATTTGATATGGGAATTGGTTTGTGCTTTTGTTTTGGGTTTTTTTTTGTTTTTTTTTTTTACTTTCCTGTATGGAAGAAATAATAAAAAGTCTAGAGTACCTGCTTGCCTAGTGTAATGCCCTCAGTTTTCACAGACTTAGCTCCACGGATGTACTTGTATGACCCACATAAATTTGTGGCCTATATGTGTTTTTAAAGGTATTGGGAATCTTAGCCCTGTGGTATCAAGCAGGATACCAGACACCTGCCTGAAAGGCAGCTCATCATCTCCTGAAGGGAAACTTCGCTCCCCCCTCACTGTTTTTTTTGCTCTCCTTATATTACCATAATAAAATGTCAGCTTGCCACCAGCTTTGCTGCAGAGCAGATGTCTCCCCATAATTACTGTTGTTGCAGGGTTTTCAGTGTTTATCCTGACTGTCTCACTGGGCTGTTACAGCGTTAACTGGCTCACATCACAGCATGGCCACGCATTTGCTGCACATCTGGAAGAGGATGTAAGCACCAATGCTCTCCTGCAAGCCTTTGTCTGCTGGGTCTCCAGATCAGTTCTTATGTGCCGAGGACTTCATGCTCCAACAGTGCTTTAAACTAAGGAGAGTCCTAGCAGAAAAAGTACCTGCAAGTGTGACTTCCCCTCCCCAGACACAGCCTGCTGGAAAGATGGCTTGAAAAGGGCAGAATAGTTACGTGAAGTTTGTTCTTTCTTGATCCAAAAACACAAGCTGGGATGCTCCATAGGGCAGGCTGCCTTTGTGGCAATGTGTTGACTAGGTTTGTAAAGCAGGAAAGGGTTAGACCAGTGTTTTCTCCACCCAATTGCATGTTTCCTAGAAGATATGAGAAGTGTTTGTGGGGAGGTATAAAAACAAACATGCTCTATTTGCAAGAAGGAAATGTGAAAATGGTGATTGAGGCTGGGAGAGGGGAGGGGCCAAGGGGTCCTGTTCTCCTGGGAAGGGTAGTAAAGACTTAGAGGATTTCCTCTCCTGTTCGGTAAAGTTTCTTGAGTTTTCTACAGTTCTGCTTTTGGGCTCGTTTTATGTTCTGATTTTTTTTTGATTTTTGAATTTGTTCTCCAAGTTCCTGAGAAGTCAGCCGCTTTCCTGCAACTCCCTGCTGCTGCTTGACTCAGTGACCCAGAATTGGCTGTCTTGCAACTGCAATATTGCTTCCCAGGTAGCTTGTAATGAGAGGGATTTTTTTTTGTGGTGGCGGTGTTTTCAGTGCATCTCAGCCTCCAAGCTCTTTGTAAGGGTTTCTTTCATTTTGGATGTACAAGCAATTCAGCTTGTGCCCATAGTTGGCCTTGTGGAGCTGGGGCAGAGCTGGAGTCTTTGCAGCCTCGCGGAGCGAAGGGCCCTGCGTATGGATTATGGACAGCCTTCACTCTGAAGGGCTGTGTGGCAGAGGTTTGGGTGTGAGAGTGGTCGGCGTGGCTGGCAGATTTGTGCAGTGGTGGGGGCTTGGGGTGATACAAAACAAGTTGAGGTCTTTTCTCTATTTGTGGGCTCCATGGCGAAGCATGGCCAGAGAGAGAGCACCTTTTTGGGGGTGCAGGCACCAACCAGCTGGTGATTGCTCCATGGCAATCTTTTGAAGTTGGAAATACCCCTGATTTCTGAGCTGTTGGCTAGCCTTGGTGCTTGGCTGCTAGTTGTCTGTCTTTGTCTAAATATCTCCTCTGGGCCTGTTTCATTCTACCTGTGGTTCTGCCCCTTTTGATTAGCTTTATGGCACTGCAGTTTCAAAATACGCAAATTTAAAAATGAATCTCTTATTTGGATCCCATAAACCTTTAATATAGCAAGCTGCCCAACCCATCAGCTGGTCCAATGAGGCCAAGCAAATCTGCAAGACTTGAGTGATTTCCTTCTCTAACAGCTCTGCTCGGTCCTGCTTGTTGGACTGTTTCTGGGTTCATGTCTGTTCTTCACATGATTGCTGGTGACATGTATTTGAGTGTTGTACTCCAGTGTACATCCCAGTGAGGCACCAAAAAGGAATGGCTCTAGGAAACGGTACTTCTACTACGTTATATTGCATATCCAGCAGCAGCTCGGAGTGGAGTTTGCACCTTTATTTTCATCTTCCTGGAAAGGTTTCCCCTGAGTGTGTTGGCTGCTGTGGCAGACCATGCTCCTATTTTGGGGTTTTGTTTTTTTTTTTTAGTGCACTACCAGAAGATCATTCACCGGGACATCAAGCCTTCCAACTTGCTCTTAGGAGATGATGGGCACGTCAAAATCGCTGATTTTGGAGTCAGCAATCAATTTGAAGGGAACGATGCCCAGCTTTCCAGCACAGCAGGGACACCAGCCTTCATGGCACCGGAGGCCATTTCAGACACTGGCAAAAGTTTCAGTGGAAAGGTAGGTCTTTACTCACAGCTGATGTCTTCTGGGACCCTCTGGCATGACGCAAAGGGCAGCACCACACTTGTGTCCTTTGCATGTTGCCCACCCAGGCATTATGGTGCAAATTGGGGTTGTTACTAAGTAAAATCGAAGCTCTAGGCAAAACTCACATTGGTTGTTCTGTGCAGCAGGTAGACACTTTGCTACAGAACTGCCCAGGCAGGAGCCATGTTAGAGCCCTTTCCCTGCCCAAAGGGAAGGGAGAAAACTCCTGATTCCCTTCCAAAAATAGCGAAGAGGCATAGGGGGCTGCTGGACATGAAGGTCATATCTTGACCCCTAAAAGCGAGAGGGCTGCGAAGTGCTGTGATGCAGATTTGGGGATAGGGTCTTGTGTGGGGTTTTGTCTGGAAGAAGACTTTTGAGGTTCAGATATCCTCTTTGATGTTCAGCCCTGAACGCTGTCGTGTCCTGTAAGAAGGGGCAGCTTGCCAGTCACTGTGCTCGACAGGAAGGACAAGGGTGGCAGCGTCTGGCCCAGCGTGGTCCTCATTACCCAGACATATTAGATACCATTAGGAGCCCAACTTCAGGAGCACAATGAAATAGAAAATGTTAAATGTGTGCAAATATATGTTCTGTGAGTTGGTGGGAAAATCCAGCTTATTCAAATCATCTCTGTGTTGCATCTCATTTACTGCCTGCACGTACTTTCTTTCAGGCGCTTGATGTATGGGCCATGGGAATTACCCTGTACTGCTTTGTTTACGGGAAGGTAAGCTGGCTTTCACACTGGAGCCCTGCATGGGAGCGTCTGCCCGCCTGGCTTTTGACTCATTCCTTTCCAAATAAAGGCAAATATTAGAAACAAAGACCTACCGTCTGCAAGCTCCTGTTTTCCCAAACACTGCGTTGAGAAGGGGCTGACGTTGTGACCTGTGGAAAAGATGGTTTCTGGAGTTGGTCCCTGTACTTAAGGCACTTGTTTATGCTGCAAACCCGGAGCAGCGTCAGCAGCACCACCACCAATTTGTTGAGAGGTTATCCGTATTGCCCGATAGAGCATGGAGAGAGGCATAGCTTTGATCCCGAGCTGCTGCAGCATGTAGCAGATGTTAGTTAGACAGAAAGCTCTGTCTGCCAGAGCAGAGTTGGGCCAGATGGAGACCACTTTGGCAGAGCTGGCTCTTCAGAGCTGCCTTCTGCAAACTCCATGACCTGTCATGGCTTTTCCCTCTCCTGTGGCCAGAAGCCCCTTGTCCCACCCACATCCTCCCAGGGTGTGCAGTACAGCAGGTGCATGCGGTCTGTGTGTGCAGGATGTTACCCTGAACCTCGTGTCCAAGCACGGACCACCGCAGATCCCACCACACAGGCGTAAGGCACCCGGCTCAGGGGTAAGGAGTGGCTGAGGGAGATGACAGAGGCAGAACTATCTCCATTGCTGGTGTGGGAACAAATCAATTTATTTTGTGTAGGGAGATTTTATTTATTTCCGTCTCCATGTAAAATCGAGAGAGTGCACAGACAGAGTATGCTTCTGTTAGGTGAATGACAAATGCCTGAGTGGTGCCAAGATCTCTGACATCTGGAAAATCCTTTGTTTGTTTTACAGTGCCCTTTTATAGATGAATACATTCTGGGTCTTCATAACAGAATCAAGAACAAGCCTGTAGAATTCCCAGACGAGTAAGTAAACTTTACTCAACTACTGTAAAATAAAGTTCAGTTTTCAGTGTTATTCACTGTGCAGCATAAATGCCAGCAGGTCACCATGGAGGGACAGACAAGGGCAGGTGAGGTGCTTTGGATTCTCCTGGGTCCTTCACATGGGTCGAAGCATTACAGCTGCCTGTGCTGCTGGTCCTGTGTCCATGCTGTGCAGACAGGGGCTAAAGGAAATGGCTCTTGAAATCTTTAGAAATTGAGAGGTTTCAGTACGAGTCTAGGGAGTTCTATCCCAGCTACTTGACCCTGGAGATGCTGGAAGAACAGTTTGGTTGGGCTTTTGTGCTTCTCCCATGTGGTAGCCACGAGAATCTGAGCAGTGGCTGAGAGCAGACTTCGGCCTCTTCAGGGATCTCCTCGCTAGAGTACAATGGGATGAAGCCCTGGAGGGAAGAGGGGCTCAAGAAAGCTGGATAATATTCAAGGATCACCTCCTCCAAGCTCAGGAGCGGTGCATCCCGACAAAGAGGAAGTCAGGTAGGAACACCAGGAGGCCCGCATGTACCAACTCGGGCACAAAAAGAAGGCCTACAGAGGGTGGAAGCAAGAACGGGTAGCCTGGGAAGAATACAGAGCGATTGTCCGAACAACCAGAGATCAGGTTAGGAAAGCCAAAGCCCTGATAGAGTTAAATCTGGCCAGGGACATCAAGGGCAACAAGAAAGGCTTCTATAGATATGTCAGTGACAAAAAGAGATCTAGGGAAAATGTGGGCCCTCTCCGGAAGGAAACGTGGGACCTGGCCACCCAGGATATGGAGAAGGCTGAGGTTCTCAATGACTTCTTTGCCTCAGTCTTCACTGGCAAGAGCTCTAGTGGCATGGCCCAAGTCACGGAAGGCAAAGGCAGGGACTGGGAGAATGTAGGAGAAGATCAGGTTCAAGACCATC